CCTAGAGGCCGTGACTAGCTTTAGTCCTGTTGTGCTAGATTCTGTGTAGAGATTGTAAGTGGAGCAGGTGGAGGCATAAAGTTAAGGTTGCATAGCAGTTTCCATTAGAAAGACCTGCTTTCATTTGCCAGTCAGTTATTAAACTTTAACTGTTGCAGTTGTGGTTCGCCATGCTGTGTGCTTGTCTCAGACTGAACTTTTCCTGTTACAGCCACAGCAAAAATTAATTGGCCTCTGCTTAGCCAACAGCCTGTGCACCAGGAATACACTCTCGACTCCCCACCTTGGAGCAGCAGTTTACAGTGCAGGAAGGAGAGCTGCCCCAGATGTTTTTTCCTCTGCCCGGTAGCTTGGGATCAACTTCTCCTAAATTACCAGCCTCCAAGGGTCCCATTCGACATGTACCAAGCAAGGATGTTTTTAGAGGCTGTTAGTTTTCTCCCAAGAAGCCTCTGCCTCTGCTGAGCAGTTTGACGTCATGCCAGATCCTCTGCGCTGACCTGACAGCTCATGTGTCACCTTCAGCATGGACACAGGCTCCAGCATCAAGTATTGAGCAGGACAATTCCCAGTCTTGCCTACCGACTCCAGGAATGCAGGCAAACTGACTTTTCCATGCTCACGTGTCTGCAGCAAGGAGCAGAGGGGAAGAGCAGGCAGAAGCATCAGCAGTCCTAACGGAAAACAGAGAAGAGGGGTGGAAAGTGAAGGCAGACTGAGGGAGGAGGGCAGACTCAGGCTGCAACGTGCTGGAGGAGATGGGACAGGCTGGTCTGTAATTGCTTAAGGACACTGCTTGCAGACATTGCACTTGAATTCAGTACTCGGGGCCCAGCCCGGTGAGACTCAGGGCCAGCTGCTGAGGCTGATAAACACGGAGCTGTGACCCAAAACGGAGAGGAGAGCGCAGGTCTCCTCCTGAGACTGTTTTAGCTCAGTGTCTGATCATGTATCCTGAGAGGTCTCTGTCAACATCTGGGAGTGCAGTGAGACCAGGGGCTTTACGAATCGCACAGGCAATTCATATTTCTCATGTATCTGATGTGTTGGATGGTGTATCTTTGGGCACGTTGAGGGAACATGCCAGCAACTTGCAAGTGGGAGATGGAACCAGATAAAATGGAATAGAGTGGCTCCCTGCAGAGAAAGCATGTGGGGAGGGAGAAACCCCCAGGGAGCGTTCGGTACTGAGCAGCGGAGTCAGTACTGAGCAGCGGAGTCTGGGCCTCAAGTGGAAGCTGTGGAAACTGCATTTGCCAGCAGTGAGAAACTGCGGAAGCTTGGATACAGGATACAGAAACTGGGAAAGCCCCTGGAGGTCTGAGGGATTGGTAGAGTTATCATGTGCAGCCTGGACCCTCACCCTTCCAGTCTGGCTCACCCTGCAAGGATGGTGGATGTGGGAGCTCTCGATCTGTGTCATGTTCAATGTACGCACTAGAGTACAACAGTACAATATTTGCTTTATTTTCCTTGCAACCCTTTTTTTCCCCAGTCCTTCAACCTTTTCTTCTCTGGATCTTTGCTTTACAATTTGGCAAATTAATTTCTACCTTACTTTACTGCAAAGCCTCATGGGACAAAGCAAACCAAAGTAGAGCAAATTGTCAGGGCCCTGAGTACACTCCCCTCCTCCTGAGGGTTTGGCTCTCCTGGGCCAGGGCCACCTTAGATGATGCAACTGTCTGTCCTTGGGGAACCTCAGCAAGAGCTGGCCCCTCTTTGGCTGAGGAGCTACTTTTACACTCAGGCTCTCACTCTTAGTCTCTGCCTGACCTAAGCTGGAGGCATGCCAGATATTACACCTCCTGATGCTGACAGCGATCCTGACCCACTGATTTGACTTTCTGGCTTGGCCCTGGACCTGCCTCACCACTTGGAGAGTGGGACTTTCTAGATGGTGACTGGACTATTGGTGACCCTGGTTACCGCCACCAGATCTGCTCTGCTCACCTTCCTTGAATCCTGTGGGACTGTGCCCTCGTCAGTGAAGCCACTGCCCTGCCTGCCTTGTGGCAACCCTTGCTTCCCGGCATCTCTTCCCTATCGGAGCAGCCTGCCCTTGCTGCTCCTGGAATTGACCTGAGATTCAGCGTTTGAAGAGAGACAGGAGCTGCAGGTAGTGCAAGTGTAACCAGGTAAGCAGAACCTTAATCTTGGAGCCATACGTAGGGACTTGCAGGGTGCAAGTTATTGATTTGCAGAGGTCAGTATGGGCGCTTGTGCTACTGGCTCCAGGAAGGACCCACTGCTTTGGGCACAGGCCACCACCCTTCCCCGTGGGAGCTGCAGTTCCTTCCCCAGCTTTCCTCAGTTTCCCCAGCAAGGTCACTGGAGATAGCAGTTCTGTGTTGCTCTCAAATACTTTGCTACATGAGGGCATGAGGTGTGGGTTGAAGGTTACATGTAAATGTCCATTGAACAACTGATCAAGTTGCTATTGCTCAGGAGTTAGGAAGTTGCCTGTGTAGCCTTGATTTGGCCCTTTTTGAGTACAGATCTTGAGATCCAGTAACTTACACATGGCTATGCTTTCATTTTCTCTGTGGCCTAATGTGCTTTGATAGCATTGGAATGAACCTGAGACGGATTCAGGTGTCCAGCTCCATGGCTGAACTGTCATGCCCCACACAAAACACATGATTTGAGGCTGCAGCAAAGTGGTGCCCCAGACCTCCTTAGGGACAGAGTAGGAGAGGGTGGTGGTGGAGAAATCCATGTATTCGCATAGATATCGATGCCACCAGGGAGCCTGGGGAGCTAAGCAGCCAGAGGTACTGCATCCCTGATCAAAGGGTGAGTGCAGGCAGGAACACGCAGGGGTCCTGGGAGGAGGACTACCCCTAGGTGAGATCTGGAGGTCTGGTGTGTAGCTGTGCCACTGAAAACGCAGTCAGAGTGAGTTCAGATACGACCTCAGCTCTGGCATTTCTCAGCTGCTGAGTGCATTAGGCAGTAATCCCGATGCCGATGCCCTCCTGGAACAGGGCCTTACTTTGCTTGATGTTGAGCGTATTACAGGGCTGGTGAGCATCTCCCTGTAGACCGGAGCACAATGTGGGTAGTGAGCTGGGGGGCAGAAGTACTCCATCTTAGCGTGGGGACTCCCCACACGGGGCCAGGACACGCTCCCCGGAACACGCAGCAGGGCACGGCGGAGCTGCGGAGCTCTCGCCGCAGCTGAACAGCATTCCGCTCACCCTGCTCTGCCTTGCTCGGTGCTGTGCAAAGGGCCCACCGGCAGCCAGCCCGGGTTCCTGCCTGCCCCCCGGCGAGCGCCCGGGGCTTCGTGCAGCTGCAGCGCGGGCAGGGCGCCGACCCCCGCCGCGGCCTGGGGAC